AATCTTTGGAAAATGAAAATGCCCCTATTTCAGAAACTACCCCTGGACCTGGAATGGTCTTCAGTCAGTTATGCCTACTGTGCTAATGTATCGATGCAAAATGCATTTTTAGCATGAAAGCTAATCGCAAAACAAGACCTACGCAACACAGCGAGAAAAGATGTGTCTTTACAATAGAAAGAGGGTGTAAAATGACGACCAAATGAATAAGGGCACAAATAGGAGTCTGTGACGTCATTCTAGGAGCCAGAGAGTTGAAACGAAAAGGGGCTTGGTATATTTCAAGAAGAAGGAGCCATCGCTTGGCAAAGCATACATTAGGCTAAATTCCAAGAGTCTGTAAACGGCCCGTGGGATGACCTCCAAATCGATGGCAAGTGAAATGAAGAAGTTAATTACGTCATTGTGAATAACGATAACAAAGCAGAAGTTTAGGGCAAGGCGTGGAGAGACCTTCGTCAAGCAGTGGATCAGAAACGACCACTGAACGGATGCCGACAGTTGTCATGAGACACATCGCCATGTCAAAGCATTTCGCAACTCAGTGTTTATCCATTTGTTGTCTGATTTCCTAATTTTTACTGACCGATAAAATATTATGATCTCATACATGTATGGACAGAGAAAATTCAGTTTGTGCGATCAATGAACAGGTAAGATTTCAATCACCCCATAGCTTTAAGATGTTCATCGCTTTTGGGCCTAATTCACTGAATTCTTGATGAAGATCGCAAAGACTCCAATTAGTGGAATATTCATGTGCTGGACAATGAATACAGTTATCCGAGTTTTATCTTTGGTAATTTTGGGATATCTGTCCCGTGGATTCATCACGAGGCGAGTCATATTAAACAACATAAAACAGGCAATGTGAATACATAACTGAAATCTCTACAAACAGACCCTGACTGATGTAGGAGTTCCGCTCAGTGATCCTTCACGCAACACCGGTTGCACGATAGCACAATAAGTAAGAGGTCGGCTTCGAGCCTTGGAGGTGCCGAGTTCGATTTCCGAGGTGGGCAGTCTTTGTCTTTACCACGAATTCTCTAGAGAAAGGAATTTGCCTCACATTGCTTCAGACAAGGATTACTGGCTTCGGTAGAGCGTCAAACTCAGTACCGGGAGGTCCTGAGTTTGGATCCAGCCCGGTCGCTCCATTTTTCCAAGCTTTATAAATGAGTATCTGAGCATCATTTTGAAAATGAGTGGGAAGAAAACAGGATAATGCAGATTATGCTTGCCACACAGCTAGTGCTGATTCTGTCATGTAAATGAAACCCCACTGACATCATGAAAACAAGAATGCTAGAATTGGTTTCATTATGTTATTGTTAGACAGATACGTCAACAGTCATAAACTTTCCTTTCCTCACGTAGCAAGAGATTTTTCGTAAATGCCCACCGCTTAACCGCAACAGTAGGCTACGTGTTTATAGCACTTGCATGCAGTAGCACAGTATGTAGTACAGTAACATGTTTTAAAGGATATTTTTGTCAGTTTCATTCACGGGATACACACGCAAGTGTCAAATGCGGCTATTAATAGAAAGTAATGTAATACACTATGATTAGTATGAGAAAATACAAAGTAAAAACTGTTCAATTTGGCCGTCTCAACAGACTACTGAACCGTGACTACTCTGCTCTGTTCATAAATCATTCCAACGGCTAAGACGTTATTTCTTTCTTTCTGGACTTTCTGGACTCTGGGCCATAAACAGAACTTGCAAAAACAACCCTCTCTACCTTGAAACATGTCCGTACGAGCCGAAACGTCGGTACTGGTCAGTTACCCGAATAGCCATATCATTTGCGTTGTGTATAATTAAACCGTGTTTATGCTGTTTTCAACACATAGGAAAATATGGCAAGAGGAAAACAAATTATAGCAGCTTCCGGATCGCTGTTAGTTCTGGTCAGTGGTCACTGGGTGGTAGTTCCACCCAGTACGTGCTAAATTCCTGAGTGGATCATGCTTGCATCGAGAAACCACTGGCATTCTCAACGTGGCTCCGACCAGAGCTAAGCCTTACCGTAGGTCATGCCTCTCGGAAACCTCTAGACATTTGGTCTTAAATGATTCTAGTGTTGACTGGAAATATTGCTTCGAGTTCGGTTTTACCGTGTTTGAGAGCAGTCGTTTTTGCATACGCAACTACGCCATATAAACTAATGAGCCTTCTGCTGAAAGATCTGCCAGCGAGCACACGCAGAGGAGGAGAAGAATGAACGGAGGCAGTAAAGCGCGGTAGAAGAGGTACGACTTTTCATTAGAGACGGCATTCAACAATCGATCGATCGATCGATCGGAAGAGGTCTAATTAAAATGGCAGATCAGCGATGAGTCTCGAGGAAGACACCGGGAAGAAAGAAAAGATTAAAGATTATGATGCACATGAAGAACAATTTGGCGTAGTGTATGATAAAGTGAACGGTGTGGGAATGGGCGGCGATTGATCAATGAGCTGCGATTGACTGCGTGTCCAAAAGGGGATCAACGAGGACAGCGATGGGTCCTAACGCAGCCTTGACAGCTTCTGATCACTCGATCCCCGAGATGCGAGCGGAGGCAAAAATTCATGCATTTCTGAACGATCAGTCTGCCACCATCTCCAACAGAAGGGCGTCATCTCCAAGTGTCCCCCGAAAACTGCGTTAC